TGGGGCTGGCTTTGAACTCCAGATCCTCCTGCCTCAGCCTTCCAATTTGCTGGGTGTGTGCGACTGCCCTCTACTCAGTGATAAGTTCTCCACCAAAACACTCTTAGTGCAATTGGGAACAAAAGCCACTCTCCCTGTGGCAGAAAGCTGTGAGGTCCAAGCTGTCTGCAGCCATGTTTCCTGCCGTGTGGAGGAGGCCAGTCTATGGTGAGGAAGAAGGAAGTTGACACAGAGTAGGAGAAAAGAGGGCCACAGGGTCCTGAGGGCTTTCAGGTACCTTGTTGCAGATGTCCCTAAGGTCCAGCTTTGTCCTCAGCCTTTGGGTAGGTTGGCATTTCAAACTTTCTTTGGAATCCTGCTTTCAATTTTGTTTTTAATTAAAAGTCCTCTTCTTTCAACCTTGCTTTCCTTATTATGTAGATCTTCTTAAATTCCCCATAGTGTGATTCTAATCAATGTGAAATAAGAATTTCAATGGAGACAACAGTGAAAATCTCCCTATTGGGAATAAGCCTGAAGTAGTGGTGCCTGTCTGAAATTCCAGCAACTTGTGAGGCTGAGGCAGGAAGATCGCAATTTGGAGGCCAGCCTCAGCAACTTAGCAAGGCCCTAAGCAACTTATACAAAGGACTGGGGATGTAGCTCAGTGGTTAAATGGGTTAAGTGTCCCTTATCCCTGGTACCAAAAAACTTTAAAGACTATATAAGCATGCTGTAGGTATAGCTAGCTCAGTGGTACAGGGCTTTCCTAGAATGCATAAGGCCTGGTGTTCAATCCCCAGTACCACAAACAAACAAAAAAACTGTATAAGCATATTTTTTTTGTTCATTCTGTAAACATTTTCTGAACACTCTGTATGTACTAGATTCTGATAAATATGTGGGTATAGACCTTAATTTGATCATTCTTTTCTCTACTACTTTTATAAATATGATTTAATTGGTGAAGAAAGCTAATTAAGCAAATAGGTTCAATATTTATTATAGATGCTAAGGTAGAAATTTAGATGGGTTACATGGGGGCACCAAGAATAAAATAATTACGTAAAACTATTTCTCCATTTTTCAAGAGCTTTATACATATGTGACATTAAATCAAAAAATAGTATCAACTCATACTTTCTCAAAAACATGTAAAAGACATTTAAGATTTTGGACTCATGCATATTTTCACAAGGTTGTTTGCTTTTTTGTTTTGTGGTACTAGGGATTGAACTCAGGGCTTCCTGAATGCTGGGCAAGCATTCTTCCACTCTGCTATATCCCCAGCTCTTCCACTGAGGATTTTTTTTGGGGGGGATGGGGGGTTACTGGGAGTTGGACCCAGGGTGTTTTACCACTGACCTATATCCTTAGCCATCTTTGTTTTTTATTTTGAGATGGGGTCTTGCTAGATTGCTAAGGGCCTCACTAAGTTGCTGAGACTGGCCTTGAAATTACAATCCTCCAGCTTCAGCCCCCCAAGTTGCTGTGATCATGGGTGCGCCACAGTGCCCAGCTCCACTGTTTTTTTGTTTTTATTTTTTTAAAGAGAGAGTGTGTGAGAGAGAGAGAGAGAGAAAATTTTTTAATATTTATTTTTCAGTTTTCGGTGGACACAACATCTTTGTTTGTATGTGGTGCTGAGGATCTAACCTGGGCCGCAGGATACCGCTTGAGCCATATCCCCAGCCCTCCACTGAGTTTTTTAACGGGACTTCAGAAGGGAATGCTTAGGGCTCTGCATGGTGACATAGGTCTGTAATTCCAGCAGATCAGGAGGTTGAGGCAGGAGGATTATGAGTTCAAAGCCAGCTAAAGCAAATTAGCAAGGCCCTAAACAACTTAGTGAGATCCTATCTACATAAAATACAAAAAAGGGATGGGGATGTGGCTCTGTGGTCAAGTGCCCCTGAGTTCAATCCCTGGTACCAAAAAAAAAAAAAAAAGGTTTAATATGATCCATATCATAATATATGCTATATTTTATTAAAAATGCATATCTAAATAGAAAAATCTATAAAGGTACATACATAAAATATTATCAGGGTTATATCTGGGTGGTAGGATTACTGGGATATTATTTTCTTCTCTATACTTTTTTTTTAGGGGTTGTTGGGGATTAAAAAAAAAAAGAAAGAAAGGAAAAGAAACCCATCTACACCTAAACCAAGAATTTGCTGAGAAGGGGATACCATTATCATGATTGCCCCAGATCAGCAGTGTCCAGTAGAAATTAACCTGTGCCAAGGAGTGCAAGCCGTATGCATATTGGAATCAGTTTTGGAAAGCTAAAAGCACATCTTCATTTCTCCTTCCTGAATGAATTACAACCTTGGCCGGCAACATTGCCTCCCACTGGCATAACTGCAAGTGCAGGCCAAGGGTGTCGCCAGCACTACAGCAACAAAGGTACCTTGGTTCTAGAATCTGGACTTGGAGCTCCTGAGTGGTGGTTCCCGGATATGACCCTTACTCTGTGTGGTCTGAATTGAGTCACTTTGCTTATCTAGGCCCATTTCCTCATTTTAAAACAGGTAGTTCCTTAATATCCTCTTGAACTTTAGTACTCTCTACCACTTTACATTACTGTGGTAATGGGACCTGCCCAGCCTGTTATCTGACACTAGTAAGCCCAAAGACCTTGGGCAGGGTCAATGACAAGTCATTCAGGACAATTTCTCTGATGTCATGGAGCAAAATGCACATTTGTTTATTTTATTTAGCAGTACTAGAGATTAAACTCAGGGGTGCTCTACCACTGAGCTACATCCCCAGTCCTTTTTATTTTATTTTTAGAAAGGGTCTCACCAAGTTGCTGAGGATGGCCAGAAATTGGGGTTCTTCCTGTCTCAGCCTCTGCAGACATTGAGATTATAGGCATGTGCCACAGTGCCTGGGAAAATGCACTTTTAGAGAGAGGAAAAAAATTTGAGCATGTGGTTTGCCATTCATTTACTCAGTATTACAGAGTGCTTACTTTGTGCCAGAGTGACAGGATTGAAGAAGGGAGGAGAGGATATGGTCTCTGTACTGCCCTCAGTGATAGAAACCAGTTGGAAGAAAATATAGATAAGCAGATAAGCAATTACCAAAAGGTCTGCAGAGGGCTCAGATAAAGGAAGGAGAGGGTATAGCACCTAGCCCAGCTAAGGGGAAGTGAGAGCAGCTTTCCAGGAAGTGATACTCAAATGAGAACAGAAGGAATGGTACTTGTTTCTGTCTTCTGATGCTATGGAAAGTGACCTACAGGGCATCTCATGTTAAACTTTATCTGCTTTTCTAGTCTGATTCATTGTTTTTCTATTCCTTTCTCCAATGCACTTACCCAGTTTTCTGTACAACCTGTAATCTGGTGGGAGGACCAGGGTCCTCAGTAACGTTGCATCCATCTGCATCCATTGGTAAACTCAAGTTTTGCATCAGTAAACTGTCACCTCCATCATCTCCAGCACCGTCACCTCTACCACTACCACTCCCAACTCCACTGTGCTACCATTAGAAAAGCGTACTGAGACTTATTTTAACTAATTGTCAAACTGTCTAAAATCCGAGTTGATATAATGAACAAATTAAGGAATGATTATTTGCTTTCCAAATTATTCAATCTAGAGCAACTTTAAATAATTAGACTTCCCCAGTGTTTTTTAAAATGTGCTTTGGTTTACAAACATTTTAATTGCCCAGATCTCTTTGGGAACATATCTACTTCAAGAAGTCAGGCATATCAGAGACAGGATTTTCATGCTGAGAGAAGTGTAAGCATTACAAGTTCATAAGGCCTCTTTCTTTATTCATTGAACTAATCGAGCGTTTTGTAGCATGCACACATCTGAACATTAAGCAGTTTAGTTGGCCATAAATCAGTAATTATGAAGGTAGAAGTTCACTGCATCAGGACCACTCATATAAAAATAGTATGCCTATGTAAATATATAGGTATCATATTTTTATCATATAGTCATCTTTTGTAATGTATATGTTTTCATAAATATGTAGTATATTTATGTTTTCTTTTTTTAAATTTTAATATTTATTTTTTTTTAGTTTTCGGCGGACACAACATCTTTGTTTGTATGTGGTGCTGAGGATCGAACCCGGGCCGCATGCATGCCAGGCGAGCATGCTACCGCTTGAGCCACATCCCCAGCCCTTATGTTTTCATTAGTACACTATTTTACAAATGTCCTGTAGATTGTGAAATTTAGGTTAGGGATTGAAGTATATTATAAAAATGACTACAAATTCTTCTCATCTTTTTGTTTTTTTTTAATGCAGTGCTGAGGATCGAACCCAGTGCCTAACACATTCTAGGTGAGCACTCTACCACTGAGCCACAACCCCAGCCCCTAATCATTGCATTAAAAAAAATCTTATTAGTTCTAATCAGTTATACATTTTTTTTTTTGGTAGTACTGAGGACTGAACCCAGGGCCTCATATATGCTAGGCAAGTGCTCTATCACTAAGCTGTATCCATTGCCCTTTCTATTTTTTTATTTTGAGACATGGTTTCACTAAATTGCCCAGGTTGGCCTCAAACTTGTGGTCCTCTTGACTCAGCCTCCCCAAGTAGCTGATATTGTAGGTGTGCATCACCACACTGGCTAAATTCCTTTCATCTTGTGTGCATATCATTTGCAATATGACTTTACATGCTTTTCATGGAGGAGGGGAGTCTATTTTTTACTCCTTGACTCTGATTCTGGGTTGGCCACGTGACTTTCTTAGGTATGAGTTCAGGATTGTCAAGATGACAGAGTCAGGATATAAGAAAGGTGCTGCTGGAGGACAAGAGGAGGAGAGGAGTCATGTCCGTGTTTAGGATGAATCCCATTACAGTGACAACACCGGCCACTGAGGACTTATCACCATGACAAACTCCTAACATAGGTTAGGTATTTTAAAATGACTGATGGGGGGGCTGGGGATGTGGCTCAAGCGGTAGCACGCTCGCCTCGCATGCGTGTGGCCCGGGTTCGATCCTCAGCACCACATACAAAGATGTTGTGCCCACCGAAAACTAAAATAAATAAATAAATATTTTAAAAAAAATAAATAAAATAAAATGACTGATGGGGCTAAAGTGGGCAGTGTTCTAGGTTTCCTAAAGTAACTGATGGGGGTGAGGATTAGACATATTCAAATCAGGTATTATAAGGTAACCAATGGGAGCAAGGGGTAAGGTCTTCAATTTGGTCAGTATAGGGAAGAGAATGCCTTACAGCTTAGTGTATAAGACACTGATTTCCAGACACTAGGGTCTTGAGCCTTTCTCTTGCTTGGCTCATTCCACTCTACCTAACAGAATGCTATCCTCACCTTCAATAAATCTGTACTTTGCCTGTTACTTGTGTGTGTCATGCTCAATTCTTTGTTGGAGGACAGAATGAACCTGGAGCCAAACTGGACACTCCAAGGATAATAACTTCTTTGGCTAATGGGATATTAACAAATAGATGCAAGCAGAGACTTAAAAAAAAAAAGCATACATATTGGGGGTTTGACTTCTTGATAACCTGGTAACCCTTCCATACCACCATGTGATTCCACTTGAGTTGGCTTGCTAGAAGATAACAACAGATCATGTGGAGCAGAGATGAACTAGCCCAGCTCAAGCCATACTAGATCAATCAGCTTGACAATCATCACATCTGCCAATGAGGCCATCCCCATTTGGTCCCAGCTGAACCTGTCCAGGCCACAAAATCACAACAAACTGACACACCAAAGACTCATAAGAAAGAGTAAAATATTTGTCCTCTTTTTTTTTGTTTTTGTTTTGTTTTGGTACTGGGGATTGAACCCCTGGCCTCATGCCTGTTAGACAAGCACCCTTCCACTTAGTCCTTCTTATTTATTTTGAGACAGGGTTGCTTGCCCAAGCTGGCCTTTTGGGATTCTCCTGTCTTAATCTCTGAGTAGCTGGGATTATAGACTAGTGCCAATACCCCTGGCAAATGTTTGTCATTTTAAGCCATAATATTTATTGAAATGGTTTGCTATAGCAAAATTGAACTGATACAAGGAACATATTTTATTTTCCTTTTTTAATCTTTATCCATTCCAAAAAAGACATTTGGTTTGGGCTGGGAAAATAGCTCAGTTGTATGAGGTCAGGGTTCAATTCCCAGTATCACCACCCCACCAAAAAAAAAAAAGATATTTGGTTTACTGCACCCACAGTTGCCACAAACATATGGTCTATCACTTCTTCCAATCCTAAAAGCTCTGATTCTCTTATATTATTAAGCTCAGCTGTTGCTTTTATGGAATAAAGGAGATAGAGAGTAAAGGTAAAAACCAGACATGATATAAACAGTGAAAGGAATACTCAGGCGGCTGAGGCAGGAAGGATCGGATCACAAGCTCAAGGCCAGCCTGGGTGACACAGTGAGGCCATGTCTAAAAAAACAAAAAAGTAACAGAGTTGGAGATGTGACTTAAAATGAAGATGGCAGGATACTCTAACTAAAATGATAAACCATTGCAACCCATAAATTGTTGATTAACTCCAAAGAAAAAAATTGTTCTATTAAATCAGAATCTTTGTGAAACTCCCTGGCACTGACCCCAGATGGCCCTGTGTTAAATTGCAAACCCACATTCTAAAATTCCCTTTCTATTAGATTCTTTAGTTTCCTCAATCTTTCTTGCTATTCAAGGTATGTTTTTCTATTTTGGTAGGTAAAAATTTTTTTGTCTATAAGTGACAGAAGCCTGAGTCAACCTAGCTCAAGGAAAAAAAAAAAGAAAAAAATGAATGTAGCCAGGAGTGATGGCTCACACCTGTAATCCCAGTGGCCTGGGAGGCTGTGGCAGGAGTTCAAAGCCAGCCTCAGCAACTTCAAATCAAGGCCCTAAGGGACTTATCGAGACCCTGTCTCAAAACAAAATCTAAAAATAAGGGCTGGGGATGGGTTCAATCCCTAGTACACGCACCACCCTGCCCCCCGCCCCCAAGAAAATGGATGTATTAGATTTTGCATCTTTTTTTGGTACTGAGGATTGAATCTAGGGGTATTCTACCGCTGAGCTACATCCTCCCCAGTCCTTTTTTATTTTTTTTTTCCCTTAATTTCGTACCAGAGATTGAACTCATGGTTGCTTAATCCCTGAGCCACATCCCTAGCCTTTTCTATTTTGAGACTAAGTTGCTTAGGGCCTCATTAAGTTGCTGAGGCTGGCTTTGAACCTGCAATCCTCCTGCCTCAGCCTCCAGAATTACTGGGATTACCAGTGTGCACTACCACACCTATCCTTATTTTTTGAGATAGAGTCTCACCAAGTTGCTGAGGCAAACCTTAGATTTGATATGCTCCAGTCTAGAATAGCTAGGATTATAAGCATGGGCCACAGCATCTGGCTTATATTTTGCATTTTAAAAGTCCAGATCATCCCTAAACTTCCAACCCAATTGAATCCAGCTGCTATAATCATAGCCCCAGGGGATGGTCTCCCCATCTCCATATCTGAGTTCTGTTTTCTTTGGTCTTGGCCCATCTGTATCCCTCAATCCCTGACCTATTTTCTGGATCTCAGATTTGAGTAGTAGCCCTCCTCCTCACCAATTGCCCTAATCATGTTAAAGGCACCAGGAGGCACCAAATTTTCTAAGTCAGAAACTTGGAAATTATCCCAGACCTCTTCATTAGTCTTAATATCTAACAGATCAAAAGGCCAAGTCATTTCTACCCCATTTGTGTCTTTGGAATTGGTTATCTCTCTCCATGGCCACTGCCACTGTGCTTTGTCATATACTGTTATTCCTGTCATGGAAGAAGAAAATTTCTTCCTAAGTAATCTTTCGCTTGGCTCCCAAAAAACCATACCTGAAGTAATAAATTTATTAAAAGTGTAACATCTGAGTCTAGCATTTCCTACATAAAAAGTTTGGCTGTGTGACTTGCAATGTTCTACAAATTTGGGATACAAGCCTGATCCCGTTTGGGGATTTTTCCAGCTGATCACTTGAATGCCCAGCTCCCCATGTGACAGATAGTCTACTATTTTAGGTGGGTTTCCCTAGAAACAGCCTGAGCTGGGATACGCATTAGTTGTTATTTAGGAACTTCACTGTTGCCTGTCACTGGGCTGTGGTTAGGCCCATTCTAAGGCACCCTGCCTGGTTTGGCCACTTAATACAGTATTTTGAGGAAGGAGATTGAAATTGATGTCTTTCCTCCCAAGAGGCCCAGGGCTCCTCATGCAAATTGTTTAACCCAGTGACAAGCTCTACCTACCTGGGGTCTCAGAGTGAGGCTTGATCCAGTTACAAAACTGTCTTTCATGCCAGGGGTCAAAAACTCAAATGCCTCTAGGAGCCTGAAGCTGGAGCAGCAGCTACTTAGCAACAATCGGTTACTACCAAGCAGGAATTTGGCACTCACAGTTGCCAGGATCTTTCATTTCCCCCCCCATCAGGAGGAACCACAAATCTTGAGTTTTATATGAAATATTCTAGTTTTAAACTGTCAGCTTTATTTTTAAAAAAGCAGGCAAAACCAAACTTGTCTAGGGCCTTATCTGGTTTATGAGCTGTCAGTTTTTGAATTTGATTTGATTCCCTAATCCCGGAACAATGGATGCCCACTTGCCCTACATTTGCATAACTATAGAGGCCACAGCAATGATCTGTGACTGAATAAAGATCAGCTGTGAACCTACTACAAAAGGTTCACGACTTCAAAAAAAAACCTAACCTCCTTTAGTGTGGGCTGTCTGGCCTTCCAGACCCAGCTCTTCGCCTTCTCCCCTTTCTGTTACCTCTTTCCTCTAGTTCCTAATACCAGCTCACATCTCAGGGCCTTTGTGTTCACTGGGCTTTTTGTCCTGGAGACCCCTCTTCCAGTTATCCATGGGCAATCCAGCCATAATGCCATCCTTCAAGATTTGGTCAGGCTTTGTGTGGTCTTGCACACCTGTAATCCCAGCTACCGGAGTCTGAGGCAGAAGGTTCCAGGCAACAAGTTCCAGGCCTCCCTCAAAATAAAAATAAATAATAATAAAAAAAATTAAAAGGGCTGGACATGTAGCTCAGTGCCCTGGGTTCAATCTCCAGTACAGTCTTCCTGCAATTTCTGCTGTCTCTTTTGTTTACCCCAATCTTTAGTTACTCTACTGTCCTCTTGTGTTCTTCACATGCTTGTGACCCCACCTGACACAGTCCCTACAGGCGAGAAACCTCAAACTTCCTTCACCTTGGTATCTCCCTGGCCTTATAGAGTACCTAGCACCTTAAATGGAAATTGGAGGACTGGGGTACCCAATATAAAAAATAATGATCTTGACCATTGCATTTCACAGGATGGAAATCCATTAAAAAAGTAAATTAAAAAAAAACTTGACAACCTGAAATGAAGTTGCGTGTTTAGCAGGAGAAAAACCCTCCGCATACTTTAATTTTTAAATTGATCATGTGTGAAATAGAGTACGTTTTTAAATTCAAGCTTTGACGTAACTGAGGCTTCTGATAAAGAGTTCTAGAACTAGCATGGTACAGTTACTCTCACTGGCTTTTGAGAATCTCACGGGCCCCAGGGTTCTCTTAAAATCAGCGGAGGACGGGGCTGGGGTTTGCAGTTCCAAGGGGTGGGCAGGAGTGGTGGTGGGTAGGAAGCAGCTCCTCCAGATGAAACAGCACTTTTTACAGGAGCAGTGGCCTGCGGCAGGAGGGAGAGCAGCCACGGAGGAAAGACCCTTTTGCATAATCCATTCTTAAATTGACTGAGGCTTGTACAGTTGTAAACTGAAACTCCAGAGGCAAACCTCCGAGTGGTTACATTTTCTTAAAAAGAATGTTTCCTTCCCAGCCCTGTCAATTATTTCTTACTTTCTGTCCCCACCCCAACGCGCGCGCACACACCCAACTTTTGGTGGGGCCGCTGCGTCAACATTGAGCCTCTCTCCTACCTGAAGCGAAGACCTCAGGACACGGCAGGGCTGGCGTTTCATTCATAATACATGAACTCAGGGGAGGAGGGAGGCGGGGGCTGGGGCCTTTCATCTCAGCTATTTTAAATCCCGGCATTGCAGCCGAAAGGGAAAATGACCTGGGAGTGAAAGGCACCGGGATGAAGCATTGCACGATAACGGTACAACCGAGCGCGTCAGCAGCCCGCCCGCTGGCTATTTATACCGCGCAGATTATGCAATCGAGCTCCAGCCATTCATACCCAACAGGGACGCCGCGCGCCCGGCGGTGGCGGGTGGGGGAGGGCACATTCCCGGGTGCCGGGTCAGTTTCTAAGTTTGCATCATCCCCTTCATTACCAGAGTAGCTTGGGTTTCCATTGCTGCCAGCGGGAAACCGTCTTGGGGGAGACAGCTGGGCTACAAACTCACTTGGCACACACTGGCACACACGACTGCCTATTTAAACCTAACAATAAAGGCAGCAGAGCGCCCGAGGCGCGGCCAGGCAGGGCGCAGGGCTGGGTCGGGGCAGACCGGAAGGAACTGATAAACCAAGCGCTAATGACACCCCTCCCTCCCGCGTCGGAAGTGTCCTCGCAGCGGCGGTCATTGAGAAATACCGAAGGGGCAGAGTGGGGGTGAGGCGAGGACAGGCCCCGGCGCAGCTGCGCGCGCCTCGCGGGGCCGGGAGCTGGGTGCAGCGGCGGCGGGCGGCTGCTGCTGGCAGGACAGCACACGTCGCAGGCCCCGCGGCGTCCGGCCGGAATCGCCCCCTCCCCTCCCCTGGGGGTAGCGCGAGTGGTTTATCAGATCCCACCCCCACTCCCCGGCTGGGGACACCTACACACCCAGCTCTGCCCGACCCCTGCGGCCGAGAAGAGGCGAAGGACACCAACGAGAAAGCGGACTGCACAGGAAGCTAAAATGTCCGCTTCTCCCAGCGCCCGTGCGGGCCGGGAGGGGGCGGGGGCCGCGGCCCGCTTCCGAGAGCAACAGGACCTGCGGGGCTACTGAGCATGCCCGTCCCGCCGCCGCCGAGGGTTGCTCTGGCTCCGAGCTCCGGGCTTTCCCGGCCGCCCGCGGGAAGGACGCTCCTGTGGGTGCTTCCCCCGCCCGGCACTCGGACTTGCGAGGCCGGTAGGTGGGGTCCTGCTGGGTGCCCCACTGGGTTTGCGTTGAAGTTCTGAGCCGTTCCATAGCACATTTGGAGCTTTACCGTCTTACTCTGAGTCCACCCTCTGGATTAGATCGTGTGCAGAGCTGCCTGCTCCCTGTTTTGCTGGATGTGGGGAGGGAGAAGGAGGGATACGGGTCCTTAACTCGTTTCAGAGGCGTCTTTTAAAGTCTTAATCTGTGCTGTTCCCTTTTCCCAGTTACGATCCAGTGGAGTGGACTTTGCCAAAACTCTGATATTCAATTCAATAAACGTATCCGAGTTAATTCATCCAGTATCCTCATATAGTCTCTGAAGATGCAGAAATCAGATTCGCCTCAACCACAGTTAACAACTGATGGGCAGGACTAAGCGGCGATCTGCTAGCATGGTTTCTATCAAAAGACCCCTCTAAGTGACAGTGACAAAGCAGAAAAGAACAAGAAGTCTTACTTTCTTTATTGGATACTAGGGATTGAATCTAGAAATGCTTGAATCACTGAGGTACATCCCCAGCCCTTGCCCTTTTTATTTTTTGAGAAAGGGCTTCACTAAATTTTTTTGAACCTCCAATCCTGCCTCAACCTGGTGTGCTTCACTGCGCCCAGCTGTAAGACTTTATTTATTTACTTATTATATTTTTGGTACTGGGGATTGAACCCAGGGGCGCTTAACCACTGAGCCACTTCCTCAGCCCTTTTATTTTTTTAGAAACAGGGTCTCTCTGGGTTGCTAAGTGCCTTGCTTAATTGCTGAGGCCTGTTTGGAACTCTGGATTCTCCTGTCTCAGCCTCCTGAGTAGCTGGGATTACAGGTGTGGACCACAACACCTGGCTTGTAAGGCTTTATTTCAGGGAACAAAAAGAGGCTGGGGTCTAAAACGGTGAGAGAGCACTTTGCCTAGTAAGTGCAAGATTTTGGGTTCCATCCCTGTTGGGGGGAAATATAGGGAATAAGAAGAACGAAGAATCAACTGAAGAGCAGGAAAAGTTGTCAGGATTTTTTTTTTTTTTCTGTACCAGGAATTGAACCCAGGGACACTTAACAACTGAGCCACATCCCCAGCACTTTCTTTCTTTTTTTTTTAATATTTATTTTTCAGTTTTCAGTGGACACAACATCTTTGTTTGTATGTGGTGCTGAGGATCGAACCGGGCCACACGCATGCCAGGCGAGCGCGCTACCGCTTGAGCCACATCCCCAGCCCATCCCAGCACTTTCTTATATTTATTTATTTAAAAAATATTTATTTTTTTTAGTTGTAGTTGAATACAATACCTTTATTTTACTTATTATTTTTATGTGGTGCTGAGGATTGAACCCAGGGCTTTGCCAGTGCTAGGCAATTACTCTATGCTGAGCCACAACCCCAGCCCCTCTTATGTTTATTTAGAGACAGAGTCTTACTTAGTTGCTTAGGGCCTTGCTAAATTGCTGAGGGTGGCTTTGAACTTGTGATCCTCCTGTCTCAGCTTCCTGAACCGCTGGGATTACAGATGTGTGCCACCGTATCTGGCAATGGAATCTCTTATCTATGGTACCTTAACTGTATAGCCCATTTCATCTTCCAGCAACTCTACATTGGGGATATTATACTGATACAAAAGACACTGAACCCAAGGCCAAAAAGAATCTAAGACCTTCCCAAGATGCTCCAGATTGAGTCTGGCACCAAAGAGATCTCAGTAGGGACTTCGTGACTCCTGGACTTCAGAATGATTTTTTTCCATTGTCCCCCTGGCTGCCTGGCCCATGGGCTGTACCAGTCCTTCACTAGTTGCAACAGCTGGCTGAGTGAGTAGGGGTAAAACTCATCCAAGCTGCTCAGAGCTTGCCAACCTGCAGAAACTAATAATCACCACAACTGCCATGGTGCTGTACTGTGTACTCTGAAACTAGAGGGTAGAGCCAGAGAGATGCCCATTGAGTAGGTAATTTTGGTGTGAATAAATGCCTGTGTTCCTAGAAGTTCAGGAATGACTGAGAGTAGGATCTCTTTCAATATACCCAGGGAGAAGAGCATCAAAAGTGAAAGGTGAGAACTGGGTAGTTATGGAATTTAGAGGACACTTGCCTTTGTATAGGTAGTGCTTTCTCTTTGACTTTTTTTTTTTTTTTTTTTTTTTGTGGAGGAGAATTAAACCCAGGGGTGCTCTCTAATGCTGAGCTACATCCTCAGCCCTTTTTATTTTGAGACAGAGCTCACTAACTTTTCCAGGCTGACCTCAAACTTGGCGATCCTCCTGCCTTAGTCTCCCAAGTAGTTGGTATTACAGGCAAGCACCACCAGCCCTGGCTTAAGATTCTTGATGGCCTGAAAAACTGAGAAAAACACTGTTGGCTTTGTTATCCTTGTGAAACTGAAGACTTGATAAAAGCCTCACTCAGGGTCTCAGGTGGGCCAGGAGAAAACCAGAACCCAGGTGTTCCACCCAGTCTACTGCCCTTCTCACCACTACACATCACCGGAACCCAGCATCAAAGGAGTTGAACCTCAGTCTTTGTACACAGAGATCATGGATGTGATAAGCAGGAAGTCTAGGGTAAGCCAGCAGTTTCTCCTGACTCAAGGTGAAATTTACTATCTTTAGAGCACATATGGCTTTCCATATGTATATACCTTTTAGGTATTCCATATTTGAGGCACATGCTTATCTTCTAGTTTAATAGTTACTGTTTTGCTAAAATCTCTGTGAATTGTCTTATGGCACATTCACAAGTACAGAAAATTCTACTGTGCTGTGGAGCAGAAAGGGACAGGGAGTAGGTCTCTTGCTCCATGGCAAGATCCCAGAAATACTCAATAATTATGTAATGTGTGGGATCCAGTGCAAAGTGAAAATGCAGAGTCCCCTTGTTAAAAAAGTATAAAGGAGTCCAGGCACAGTAAACAACTGTAATCCCAGCAACCCAGGAGGCTGAGGAGGGAAGATCACAAGTCTGAGGCCAGCTTCAGGAACTTGGGCCCTGTCTCAAAAAAAAAAAAAAAGTTGGGGGCTGTAATTCAGTGCTAGAGCACCCCTGAGTTCACTCCCCAGTACAAAAAACAAAACAAAAAAACCATACACACATTTTTTTTTTTTTAATGTTACTGGGGATGGAACCCAGGACCTCATGCAAGCTACCACTGAACTACATCCTCATCCTTATTTTGTATTTTATTTAGAGACAGGGTCTCACTGAGTTGCTTAGGCCTCATTGTTGCTGAGGCTGGCTTTGAACTCACAATCCTCCTATCTCAGCCTCCCCAGCCGCTGGAATTACAGGCCTGGCCACCACACCCAGCTTTTATTTTTATCTTGAAGCAGAGTCTCCCTTAGTTGCTATGGCTGGCCTTGAACTTGCCTGCCTTCTGCCTCAGCCTCCAGAGCAGCTGTGATCACAGGCGTGGGCCACTGCATCCTGGTTTATAAAGGATTTCAAGATTGCAACAACAGAGCATGAAACTAAGCACGGATCCCCTACAACTATACCAGCTGCATACCCAGGACGCTAGTCCTGGACGTTGCCCTTATGCTTTGTAGAGCCTGGGCCCACCCAGAAAACCTCCAGCAGGTACCAAGCCAAGACAGGAAAAATAAAACTGGGGGTGTGGTGGGATGGGGTGGGGAGTTGATGAGCTCCTCACCTCTCTGTGCCAAAGTCCATAGGGCTGGCAACCTCTGGCTCGGTAACTGGTCTTCAAGGGCCTGAAACAAAATCCATCCTTCATCAGCAGAGAGATTCGCTAGATAGTTTCAGAAATATATTTGGGATTACCTTTTAACTCTATCATTTCTACAAAAACGCAAACGTTTCTGGGGCATTTGGGGGGCTTATCCTTTATTTTTCTATGTACAAATAACGACTCCTTTAAAATGCCCGCTCATCTATCAAGACAAAAAATTAAGAGACGGAAAAGCCTCTGCCATCAGAACCTTGGCAAAGTCTTACTTCCCACTCTTTCTGGTTGGGTTGGGGTGGCGAGGCCAGCCGCTGCCACCTGCGCCGTCCCCGCCCTCCCGGTGGGGGTAGTGGTTCCTCCGAGCACCACCACCCCTCCAGCCGCTTAACTCCATTCCCTCCCTTGAGCTTTCCCATCTTCGCCCCCAGGCGCCCCCCCCCCCCTCGATTTTCAGTCCTAGGGTTTGGAAAGAAGGAAGGGACAAAACGGGAGCCAGATGTGTTCAAGTCCCCAGCTCCCGCCTCCTTCATCCTCTTGGGCTTCCTAAAACCCGGAGTCTTAATCGAGGAGGATTCGGAGCCAGACAGACGCGGCGCAAACAACTCCGCTCCGCGGCTCCTTGGGGACTGGAAGCCAGGAGGGAGGGGGAAAAGAAGCTGGGCATGCTCAGTAGGCGGGACAAAGTTTTTTTTTCTCTCCCTCTCTCTCTCTCTTTTTTTTTTTTTCGGTCGCAAGTAGGAAGCTTTTTGCACTCCACCACCTCTGGCCGCTGGGAAGACGTCATCGCTTCCGCCCTACTTCCTCCTCCTGTTGGCGGCGGTGAGAATCCAATATGGAGTAAATCGGTGGAGTCGAGAGATGGGGCTCGGACGGGGCGCCCTGCACCGCCTCTCAGGCGC